CTTTGGCTGAATTGAGGTACTCTATTCCAGAGGAGATGAAGGAAGGTACCGTGGTTGGAAATGTTGCTAAGGATCTTGGTCTGGACAAAACCTCTTTGATTGATCGACGATTTCGAGTTGTGTCTGGATCTAAGGACACTTTTTTCGAGGTAAACCCGGACAATGGTGCCTTACAGGTCCGTAAGAAAATCGACAGAGAGGAGCTGTGTCGCGGTAGTGGTGTATGCTTAATGGAGCTGAAAATCCTGGTTGAAGACCCTTTGGAAATGCACCATGTAGTTGTAGAAATTACTGACGTAAATGACCACTCTCCTAGTTTTCCTGAAAAGGAACAGCAATTTCAAATAGCAGAACAAACATCTCCAGGAACTCGATTCCAGCTGCACGCGGCCCGTGATCCCGATGCTGGAATTAACTATATCCGCACATATACATTAACGTCAAATGATCACTTTGAAATAGAATTTAGTCCAAGCGATGAGGAAAAAATACCATTTTTAGTGCTGAAGAAGTCCTTGGACAGAGAACAAAAGAATACCCACTTGCTATTTGTAACAGCAGTTGATGGAGGTAAACCTCAAAGATCAGGAACACTGAATGTTTCTATTATTGTTCTTGACGTTAATGACAATCGTCCGATATTTAGTCAAGACACTTACCAAATAGAAATATATGAAAACGTCCCAGTTGGCACTACTGTTACAAGAGTGAATGCAACAGATCCAGATGAGGGGACTAATGGGGAAATTGAGTACAGCCTCAGCAGAACATTAGCACGTAAAGTCTACGAAATATTTGAATTAGATAGTTTAAGTGGACAAATTAAATTGACAAGAGTCGTGGATTTTGAGGAATCCGAGAATTATAAACTAGATGTTGAGGCATCTGACAAAGGAACACCTCCATTAATAGGGAGGAGTAGAGTCATTATAAAAATAAAAGATGTCAATGATAATCCACCAGAAATAGAAATAACATCACTGTCAAATACAGTGTCTGAAGATTCAAAGCCTGGAACAGTTATTTCACTTATTAGTGTAACGGATAAAGACTCCGGTGTGAATGGAAAAATTATCTCACGCATAACTTCAGACGTTCCTTTTGAATTAAAGCCTTCTTATAAAGAGAACATATATTCAGTTGTCACGAAGGGAATTTTGGATCGAGAGGAGGTGTCACATTATGAAATAACAATAAAAGCCACCGATTGTGGTGAACCTCCCTTATATACTGTTAAAACACTGAGTATTCAGATATCGGATGTAAACGACAACAGTCCACATTTCTCCCAAAATCCATTAGAGTTTTACCTGATAGAAAATAACGTTGC